GGGGGCGATATGCTGACTCTGTAAACCACTTAGAGAGGGCTGAAAGCCCTATGAAGCGGTATATAAGTCTAACTGCTATTGCTATTGCTATAATAATTTGTATAAAGATTGATGATACTAATAATGGAAAAAAACATGGAATTGAAAATTATTAGAGAATGTTATTAATGCTAAACTAATAGAATGATTTAGAATAGGACACAAAACCAACCTCTTTATTATTGGATATATTGAAGATGATATAATGAATCATCATGACATAAATGGATACATATTTAGAATGCCTTGTTTAAAATGGTGAAACAATAGTGACAATTAAACAAACGAAGTACAATAATAATGTATACGAAGATATTTGATTGGCAAGAAGTGATTTTTGATAAAACTCAAGCGATGACGATGGAAAGGACGGAGAAAGATTTTATAACCAATCGACACACTGTATGTAGTTGAAGAGGCTTTTTTACGTCACGTGTTTTGCGGGTTTAAGTTTGTTTGAAAATAAAAAATGTTATTTAAAAAAAATACCTTCGTAGAGGCGGAAAGAGGGCGCAGTGATTCCCTCTTCTCCGTTCTAATCGATTCTCTATGATAGAGAAGGAAAAAGGTTGAACCCTCTTTCTATCAAAGCCTTCCTCGGGGACCTCCGTGCAATGCTTTTATAATGTATATTATAAAATAACAAAAAAAGGGATAACGGGCGTCCTCAGGGGAAGCCAGAGGGTGTGGCGAGGGCCTTCCGGGAATTTTGACACCTGTCAATTCGCCAAGTGACGGCCGGTGATTGGCTGGGATCTGGGGAAACTGCTGTATTACAGGAGGGACGGAAGTGTCGAACAACATGTAAATGACATTGTCGTTGTATTAATCTAATACGTACAGGGGCTGTCAGGCCGCTTGGCTGGGAGCAGAGCAGAGACAGATGGGGAACGAGCGAAAGTAGCCAACATCACAAGGTTGCATGCCCTTCGCGCAATGCCGGGCCTCAGAGGGCAGCTGCCTGGCAGGAGAGGCCCCAGTTGGATGTAACTGCTGAATATGCCAACACTGGCTTTGACTGAGAAATTGGGTGTGTGTATGTATGGGGGGGGAGGGATGTCCCAGGAGGTGGAACCTCACCACTGACCTTCTTGTCCTTGTTATAAAGATGTTGAGACTTTGGAAAAAGTTCAGAGAAGCACAAACTAAGATGACCAAAGGCCTGGAGAGGAAACCATACCAAGAACGGCTAGTTAGAGAGAAGAAGAATTAGGGGTGACATATTCAGCAGGGTGATAGAGGGCAGGACAAGAAACAAGGGTTGGAAACTAGCCAACGAGAGAAGCAATCTGGAATTAGGGAGAAGCCTCCTAACAGTGAGGACAATTAACCAAGGGAACAGCTTTGCCTTCTGAAATCNAAAGGGGAGTGGAGTTTGCAGGAGACAATTAGTTCACTTCATTGGCTTGTGACTCTCCTTGCCAAGTTCTGCAGAATATCGACCTGGCAGCTCTCCAAGCCAGATAAGGTCCGTGATTGTAAATCCTCCCTTGAAAGACTTCGCTGGATGCGAATGAGCAGAATTCAGAGCCAATTAATAAAAGGGTTTTTTGTCGGGACAAGGAGTCTGCTTCAGGCTCTTGGGAAGCCTCGGTCATTACACAGTCCTAAAAAGATTGTACAAGGAGTCCTCGATTTATGGCCATCCACTTAACAACGGTTCGAACAACACTAAGAAAAGTGACTTCTGATGATTCAGCATCCCTCTGGTTACGGGATCAAAGTTTCGGCGATTGGCAACTGACTTGTGTTTATGACAGTTGCAGCATCCCTCAGTCATGTGATCGCAACGGCGCCCATCCCAGCCGATTTCTAACAAAGTCAATCGGGAGGGGGGGGGGAGCCGGATTCTTTTAATGATGGTGAGATTCCCTTAACGACAGTGAGATTCGCTTAACCATGGTGGCAGAAAAGGTTTATAAAATTTGGGGCGATTCACAATACACCGTTGCTTAGCAAGGGAAACTGTAATCCCAACGGCAGTCTTAACTCAAGGACGATCTGTATAAAACCGAGACGACAATACTATGAGGGGGGAAACACAACAACAACCAGCCTCAGGAATTTCAGGGTGGAATCTGCACCTTTTGGGCTGAAATTCTTGGGGTAGTACAAGAAACTCAAAATATTATTGTTGTTTTTTTGGAGGAATTCATCTTTGTCCCACATCTGTCGACAGCATTTTAAACGCTTTTAAAAGAATTTGCAGCCCAACCTGAATGATTTTGAACGCATCTGCTTTCAAAGCAGAGTCGAAGAAGCAAGAGGATTCCACGTTTTCTTTCTCCCCCATATTAGCCGTTCTATCTTTTCTACGGAGTGGAGAGTTGGGTCTCCAACAGAAAGCCACTTGAGGAGACCAGAAGCATTCCAAATGTGGATTGACAGGAGGCTGTTACGTATCAGCTGGGTTGACAAAATCAGAAAGGAGGAGGGGATAAGAGGCCTGGGAAAGCCAAGGGAGATCATCAAAACCATTAAAAAAGCTAAAATTAGGATATTTTGGACATGGGATGCAACACCCAGAAAAATGCAGCATCCTTCACTTAATCCTCCAAGGAAANAACGAGCCCCAGCTGCATTGTTATTCCTGCATCCCGACTCAACTCACAGCAAACTTCTGCAGAGTCACAACACAACAAGATACTCACTTTTGTACATTCGAGCTGATACGTAGCCCGCCGGGGTCCCCAGCAAAACCCAGAGCACCACAGCACATGTCATCAAAGCCCCCCGGTTGGCTGGTGAGAGGAAACCGAGGCAGGCGAGGACTGGAAGGAAGACAAAGAAGGAAGTGTCAGGAGAAGTGAGATCCCACGTCATTCAGGCACCCTTTTTCTTCCAGAACGAAACAAGGATCTGGGATCCCAGGTCTCTTTCCGGCTTCGGGTCAACCACACCGATTGGGGAAAAAAACATTTTTCAGAGTTTCAAGAGGTCTATCCTAGCCTGGGGTAGGGAATTCTGGGAGTTGAAGTCCACAAGTCTTAAAAGTTGCCCAGGCTGGACATTCCTGCATTAAAGGCCTGCCTCTCCTACACCGACTCAGAATAATCTTCCCCCACCCTTCCCAAAGAAGCTGAGGGTTTCATTCCCGAGCTTTGGAGTAAAGCTGCCAAAACTTTCTCAAGATTCAGCAACCAACTTTGCAACTACCGTATTTTCCGGAGTATAAGACGCACCTTTTTCCCTCAAAAAAGAGGCTGAAAATCTGGGTGTGTCTTATACACTGAATACAGCATTTTTGGTCTCCCAAAGCCCCTTCCCCTTCACCAAAATGGCAGTGGATACCCTTTTGGAGGCTTTCAAAGAACTCCTGGAGGCTGGGGAGGGCAGAAATGAGCGAAAAATGGGCCAATATTTGCTCAATTATCCCCCCCCCTCCAATCCCCAGGAGCACCCTATAAGCTTCCTAAAGGCTATCTATGTCCTTTTTTTAAATGAAAAATGGGGGCGTTTTTGCTCATTTTTGCCCACCCCACCCCTCCAGGAGCACTCTGCAAGCCCCCTAAAAGCTATTTATGCCTTTTTGGGAGGGGGGGAAATGAGCCTGTTTTTGCAAAAAACAGGCCGTTTTGGGGAGGTTTGCAAAGTGCAAAAATCTTTTTTTTTAATTCGCCTCTTCAAAACCTTGGTGCATCTTATACTCTGAAAAATACAGTATTTCTGATTTTCGATTTATTTATTTGTTGTTGTTTGATTCTGATTATTATTTGATTTAATCTGAGAGTGCAATGTGGTGGCCTAGAGGTGGAACTCTTGCCTCTAGGTCAACGATGGCAAACCTTTTCGGCACCACGTGCCCAAATTGTGTGTTTGTGCGCGTTCGTGTGTGCGCGCTGGAGCATTGGAAACCCAAAGACCAGATGGCTGGCATATACATGCCTGCTTTTTGGCTGGTTTTGGGGGCGTTTTCAGGCCGTTTTCCGCCGCTCTGGCACCCGCAAAGACCAGCTGGTTGACGCACATATGCGCACCGGAAACCAAAAGAGCAGCTGGTGATGGCACGCATGCCCACAGAGAGGGCTCTGCGGGCCATAGGTTCGCCATCATGGCTCTAGGTTGTGAGTTCGATCCTAGGTAAAGCAGCAAATATTTCTCTCTCTGGGCGCAAAGGGGGAAAAAAAAATCTGCTGTGAACTGCATGTAGGCATCAGGAAGGGTATCGGCCAGCAAATGCTCAGCTCCATTCAGTCGCCCTGATTTCCCCGCACCGATGCAAGGAATTGCAGGGTTATTAAAAGGGGGACAAATGGTTTAATCAAGCTAGGCCTGTTCCACATGCAGATGGCACCCTTCTAGAAAACCCTTGTCAAATATTTTTGCCAGCATCGCAACATTCCACCCCCCCCTCTCCAATTTTAGCCCCTCGAGCGACACTTACATAAAGTAATGAACGTCATGATAAAAATCTGCGTCCCTTGGCCGAGGAAGACGGAGAGCAGCATGCCTTTCCGGGGCGGCCTGAACACGTCTCCATGGACCAGCTTCCACCCGAACTCCTCCTGCGCGTCTTCCTGTAATAACATCTTGATTAGAGGAGCCCCACGCAACAGGGAATTAGCACACGCCAGACGTGGAAGTTGCTCTGCCTGCCTGATTATCTTTCGCGGGGGGCAGGGGGGGGTGTCGTTACTAAAAGGGTCTAATTTCATCGGCATCGTTAACATGCTGATTTTACAACTCCCCAAAGGCGAACCGAGAAGGGAGGGAAGGGGGGGGAGAGACACATAGAAAACACAGATTTATTAAGGCTCGCTTATGTTCGGAACGAGAAACAAGCATTAACAGACTTAGCTCAAAGGCTAACAATTGTGGTTAATGTAAGCTATGCACAAGAGCAGCGTTTAATGTAATTTATCCTTGTCTTTTATTATCCAAATCATTTCAGATCTGAAGATATACTTGTGGGCCGTATTTTCCTGCTCTCCCCCCCCACATTAAAAGCAACGGAATTCTATTCACTAAATGGAAAACACAATTTCAAGCCCAGATGCTAAATGCCACTTAGCCTGTGCAGCTATCTCCCGAGTAACCCTGCCTCTATTTTACGAATTGTTTTGTCCCCAGCATCTTGCAGTTCGATTCTTCCGAATTATTTTCCCTCTCTCTCTCTCTCTCTCTCTCCCTCCCTCCCTCCCTCCCTCTCTCTCTCTCTACCTAGCAGAAATAGGATGCATCACCAGAGCATTTTCATAGCCAGGTATGTAGTGAGGACACGAACATCAATGACACAGGAGAAAGCGGTGACTCTAGAACCTACATTTTCCTAGTGCCCCACCTACTCAGTCTGCAGATAACAGGATAACAGAGTTGGATGGGACCTTGGAGGTCTTCTAATCCAACCCCTCTGCTCAAGCAGGGGGCGCTATACCATAATAGACAAATGGCTGTCCGAGCTCTTCTTAAAACTCATCCAGTGGTTAAGTTGTGGTGGCGCAATGTTTAGAGTGCAGCATTGCACGCGAACTCTGCCCACTGCCAGGACTTCAATCCTGACCGGGCTCAAAAGCTGACTCAGACTTCCAACCATCCGAGGTCATTAAAATGAGGAGCCAGATGGTTGGGAGGCAATAAGCGGACACTGTAAACTGCTCGGAGTGCACTGTAAAGCATTAGGAAACGGTATATAAGTCTAACTATTGCTATTGCTATTATTCTAAGATTCAAAGGAGGAAAATATACACTTCAAACAG